GCAATTACAAACACATTAATTGCCCCATTCTGATCTTGTAGATTATAAGCAAGGAAAAAAAACAACGTTCAATACACAAAATCATTTTCCATCCAAACTCAACCAAACACGGTTTTCTTTTTATAATGTATTTATTTGGCTATTTTTCTTATTTTTAAACACTTAAATGCACTCAAGCTATAATACAGTTATGTAGCCTACTGGCACCACATACCCTTTCAGTACAGCAAAACCTAACTTTCAAGGAATTCTGAATTTTGAGGTAACAATCTTAGCATGTCATTCTCAAAACACATAACAAAGTTCCAGATGACCTCTGTAGTGGACATAACAATGGAAATGGCAATGTGAAATGAAGGGAGGGCCCTCTAAGTGCTGTACACCTCTAGATAGCCCTATACTTCCCCCTTGCTGCTTCTCTCCTCACTACAGCCTCTTCAAGCACTGAGACTCCCACGTTCTTCTGCCTCTGCTATGTATCATGATCATAATTCTAATCATCTCTGAATCCCCACTCCCAGGAGATACACATATATCCAAATTGCCTAGAGCTTCCTCTCATTCTTCCACACTCATACACAAATTTTCCTTGCTACTCTACACCTGTAGAAAACTCAAAGAAGGAAGACAGCAGTGGGTCACTGAGGTGCCTCTGCAACAAAAAAAATGAAATGGGTCAGGAACTTCTACAAATGAAAATGGCTCATCAAAATGCTTCTGTGCACTGAAGCAACATCCCTTTCTTTAAAACTGCTGGAGGTCATGGTACTTCATTTCCAGTGGAACTCACAGTAAAGCAAAATCCGTTTTTATTAATGAATGTTGTCTTGAAAGGAGACAGAAATTTGCATTACAAGTGAAGGAATAAGGAAAAGCTTCCAAATGAAGAAAAAAAATGAGAACCATATCCTGACTTCCCCACTACACTTCTACAGAATAACTCCGAGACTTCTCAAACTTCTATTCTGAACATACCACAGACCCCTCCTCTGCAGCATCCATCCCCAGCAGGTTCATCCCCACTGATCAGTGCAACTAGGGAGGTTTTATAAACACACACGTGTGTGCGTGTATGTAATATAAAAGGATGTACAAGTACAACCCAACTGGTGACTCAACAATTTATAAAAGTACATCCTAGGTAAGCTGCCAGATAAAGCATGGAATCTTACAAGAAGAAAGCGCAGTCAGTTGACTACAGCTGTGACACTACTGTACCAAAGGGGTACTTGACGCGCGAGTCACTTTTGTAAACAGGAAAATACCTTCACATTCCCTAGCTGGCTTTTAGCTATCCCAAAGGGTGCTGGTAAATTGCTGTAATTTGATTCAGTACACTAGGAAAATTTTATAAGATATCTCTCAAATTTACTGAACACTGCTGGAAAATAAATGAATGCCCAGATAGGCATTTTTAGAAATGAGATTACATCTGTTTTCACCCAGTTCTGTAACTAAGGAACATTTCTGAGATTTAAGGGAAAAAAAGTCAGCAGTTATGCAATCTGAGCAGGGATATAATACAAGCAGTATCATTCAACCATATCAGCCTATCCCAAATCCAGCAACCAGTGTTTCATAAACCACGGATTTGAAGACACAGATACTGAAAATTCAACCCTTTCCATTACAGTAGTTTTGCCAAGATTAATTTTTCTACAGCCTGCTCAGACTTTTCTATGAAAGAACTGCTTGCAAAACTCCTCTCTTCCCCAAAAATCTGAGGAGAAAGACAAACGGGTAATTTCTAATAGAGTTAATATGGTAGGATATGAAAATATAAATTAGAATTCCCCACCACATCCATGAACATACAAACCATCATATATAATTAAAGGGAGTGAAGTGAGTTGGTCCCAAGTGTCTTCCAAATGCTCCTATCATACTGAATCTATTCACATGGTCATAATGAACTCTGATGGATGTCTAAAATCTCCTTGGTCTGTCCTAGCTGTCAGCATCTGTTACAAAATCCTGCTGGATTTATAAATGTAAATAAAATATGCATACAATATAAGCAGTTGTAACTGATGCTATCTATCTTTACAAAGACATATGAGAAACACCAGTGATGATCAACGATGTTATGAACTCTTCATTTTAATACTTGCTGATGCTTTTTTGAACACCATAAGCAAAAAGTGGAGGTAATTTTATATATATGTGGTGTATAATTTCCCAACTTAAATGATTCAAGTGAGAGGGATCACACAGAATCACAGAATGGTTTGGGTTGGAAGAAACTTTAGAGATGATCCAGTTTCAACCCCCTGCCACAGACAGGGACACCTTCCACCAGAACAGGTTGCTCAAAGCCCCATCCAACCTGGCCTTGAACACTTCCAGGAATGAGGCATCCACGGCTTCCCTGGTCAACCTGTTCCAATGTCTTACCGCTCTCATGATGAAGAACTTTTCCCTGATTCTAAAATCTGAATCTCCCCTTTTTCTATTTAAAGGCATTTAAATAAAACTGTCCTATCCCTAACATGCCCTTGTAAAAAGTCCCTCTCCAGCCTTCTTGCAGTCCTGAAAGAAGGTTGCAGCTGGAATTCCATTCGTTGTCTTTTTATGAGCAGTAAGAAAAAGGCAAGCAGAGATGTCAGTCAGGTATCAGTAACTAGAGCTCTCTGAAGTAGGCTGGCCAGGTGTCAATTCATATTTTGCCTCTAAATGGCACTAGAATGAATCTCTACCTCCTAGTTACACCTTTGTTTCAGAGCATACTTCAAAAGGGTAGAGTAAGCCCTAGCATGCTTCCAATATCTGTGAATGGAGATCTGAAGCACTATTTCAGACAGTCATGCAGACCAAGCATCTTAAAAAAAAAGGGGGAAAAAATCCAAAATTCTTTCTTTGTTTAATATGTCAGATGTCTGCCCATAATCTAGGATAATTCAAGTAACATCTCCCTCATGCATCCTCCCAAATGGGCCCTATAATTCTTTGAGAACTGCATTCCCAATACAGTTCAAATGCATACAAATGCATACATGAAGGGATGAGTACAGCTTTAGGTTTGAAGTCTATAAATGACAAGTCATTGAGAAATTGCTAACAGGCAGCGTATGCTGCTCTGGGCAAATCTCTCTTCAATGACTCAAAATCTCATCAGTAAGTCAAGCACCTCAATACATGTTTTAAGAAAATAAGTTATCCACTTGGACAAGCGGTAATGAAGAAAGCTGTTATTTCCAATACAGAAAGAAAAGCAGCCATCCAAAATGCTTAGTTCTCTTATTCTGAGAGGAAAAAAATGTTCTTTCAGAGCATGAAGGGATTCTTTTAAAGAATTTTCTGAATCCCAGAAAAGATGGACTGAAAAACTGCTGCTTTTGCATGAAGTTTAGGTATGTTTTCTGGCAACAAAAAAAAAAACAACAAAAAACCAACACAACAAACCCACCCCACTTGTATTCTCAGATATTCTTCCACAGAACATCTGCTCTGCTACCAGGAGCCACGTGCAAATGGACATTCCTGGCAGAAGAAATGGTGACCAAGAATGCCCACCCTGAACAAAAAAGTGTCCAAATGCTCAGAAGGCCAAGTAATGGGCAAATAAAAGCACAAGTTTTACTTCTCACTAAGGTGAGGGATCCCTGCGCAAGAAGCAAGGTGTAATGATTTAACCTACATGTTACAACACTGAAGAGCTAAGCAGAGGACAGGCCAAGTGTATCAACAGAAATATTTGACAATTCTGATACAAAGCTAAAGCAAATACTCCGGAAACAATGCTGATCTTACTATTCTTTCTAAAAGAAAGTCTCAGAGTGAGCACTCCTAGAAAACAAATCCTGGAACAAGAGCAATCTACAGATTCAACATGTGAAGAGGATGCACACCCTCAAGACAACAGATATCAAGCAACATGGCTGGCTGCAGGGATCTGACCATGAGCCAGACACAAAGGAATCAGCTGGCCTTATTACTGACTAGTAAGACTAACTGACCTAGAGTTCCTGAGTCAGTGAAGATGTATGATATTGACGCAAACGGGCAGGGAGAAGAGGGAAATGTGAAAGCTGATGTTCAAAGACTTGGAGAGGAAAGAATAGAAGAAACAGAAGAGAAGAAATAAAGAATGAAGAACAAGTGCACTGCAGTCAACTACCTAACAATTTCAATTAAATGCAGCAGTGCTGCTCAGTGTCCAATCCCGATAAACACGCTTACTCCTTACCAGTACTGTTAAACAAAAGGTTTAAGCAGACACGTCACTGCAAGAAAGATTTAGTGATGGGCCATTCATTTTAGCAAAATCAGTGAAGCTGTTGATCATCACAGTTCATAATAAGACATCAAAAATGTCTTCTTATATAAGCAATAATATATTGGTTTACAGACTCAATGTGAGCATATGACTTTAGACTACTGAATTTTTTAAATTTGAAAGGTGCTGTAGAAATACAAGAGGACAAATAGGTGTATTTTGATGATGTAGTATTACTTAGCTTCTGCAGAAAAAACAAGTGTGGTTAATCAGCATCAGCTGCAGTCTAATCTGGACAGAAGAAATCTCTGGATAAACAGAAATACAAGCTCAATATTAAACAGAAGAATGAAAACCTGACAGTCTCCTTAGATCATCTAATTCAACTCAACAGAGAAGTAATTAGTCTTTTATCCTTCTACCACTAAGGAAAATAAAGGTTGAAGGCAACTGTGAAATACAGAAATAACAATGTGGTATTTCTATTAAGTTCTGGATTTACTGGCCTAATTTTTATGTTATGACAGCGCTAACATTTACTGAAGAAATCAAAATTCTGAACACCATTAGAGCAAGAAATGTCATGTTGCACAAACACTTGCACAGGTTCCTATCTGGTCGCTTGCAATTACCCTGACAAGTATGTGTCCATCTCTTGCATTATTTGTTTCTTCTCTCCCCAAAAGAGGCTTTAGGTGGGTTGAAAGGACAGTTTATCTTTTAAACAGATTATCTTTTGAGTTTCAAATTGCAGAAGTGAACTTGAACATAAGGCAACACTTACCTTCTGGACGGTACTGAGCTACAATTGTTACTGCTTGGCCTGCATTCTTGAGGGCTGCTGCTGCCTGTTCATGTGTTGCTGCTTTTAGATCTACTCCATTTACCTACAGGTAACACAATAATGCTCTTTATCAAAGTAATTATTTCTGTTTATCATCACAGAACAGACTAGTAGGAAAAAAAAACAACAAAAAGAAAATCCCCCCCCCCCAAAAAAAATGGATGAAACTAGTTTCATGCCATGCAAGTTTTCCCTGTTTCCAATATTACTCATCCTTACTGAAATGCAAAGTCAATAAATCCATTCTCACATATACCCATCTGTTAAGAAATACTGTAACTGACAAAGCATATAACTTAATGCAACTGCATTTGCCAGGCCAATTTTCTTCTTGTTTAAGACCCTTTTCTGTCTTTTAAAGGAGATGCACCGAAAGTTACTGTGATGGCAAAAAAGGTGAGGTGAACAACAGGGTTTCAGTGATCTCTTTAGTCAAAAAGTGTGCCTACAGACCACTGTGTTTAACATCCAGTGGCAGACCATGCCCTCCATGGTGTGGAGGTCTATCCTTGTTTTCAATGCAGCACACTTAAAAATAGCATCAGAAAAAAATGAAGCAGAAATGTGTGTCACACTTTAGACCAAAATCATTTTTCATAGTTCAAACTAAAATAATACCAGCATTTTAGTAACAGCAGAGCCAAAATTTAAGAGGAAAAAAAAATCCTCCTAAATAACTACCAAATTACAATGCAGTTGTCCAAAGAAATTACTCTCCATAAATTAAGTAATTTCACAAACACACTGGCAAAATCTTTACAACCTTCAGTACCAATATAGAAAAAGCCCTTAGGCAGGTATGAGATGGATCTATTTAAGACTAATGGGAAGTCTGGCAGTTACTCCAAGAAGCACCCAATTTTAGACACTACTGCAAAGTGTCTCCAATCTCAGTAGAAGGCTTATTTCTGAAACCCACATTATTTGAATTTAGATAAACACACCCCTCAGCTATAGACATACAGATACGTTAATGTCTTCACTGGATAGTGTCACTGACAAATAGCATCACATACAAAAATGCTATTTTAATCAGGTTACAAATGAGAAACTGAGGCAGTCTAAAGTCCTCAGATACTTTGGAAGTATACTGGCATCTGTTTCATTGTCTCAAATTTAGCTCAGTTAATGGTATTCTTTGAATATAAATAATTAAATGGCATTAATAACCAGGCAGGGGAAAACTTTCGTTGTTTAAATAAAAGAAGCAAGGAATCCTACAGAAATTATACGATCTCCTTTCCTAAGCTCTCCACTCAGGTCAGCTGGCCCTCCTGCAAGGATGAAAGAGATGAAAATTCCTTCTCCATCTTCTCCTCCAACAATGTTGAAACCAAGACCTGTTGATCCTCGATGGAGGACAACCTTTCTAGGCTCCCTGAATGAAAGAAAGGAATATGAGATCTTGGGTCACTAACATGAATAAAAGTAAAATAAACGATTAGAAAATAAAAGTTTTTTGAGAGAAGTAGTTTTGAAAATTTAGGCATCAAAAATTACACATTTCTTAAGGCAACAATGTCATGTGTCCACAACTCCTTACCCAGTCCTGCCCACCAAAGCTTAAGACTCTCAAATAATAGGTTCTGTTACCTGTACGTTTTCAATTCTGTTACTAAATGCAACACAAAACCCCCTCCCTGTTGTTAGGCGAGTTGAACAACCCATAAGCATGTAGTCTAAATTCCTGTTATGCTACAATCCTATTCAGCACCAAATGTCACTACCTAATACTTTTCATATTGTTCAAGAGCGTCAATATAGCTCACAGTCTTACTCTAATGGTAACAGCATGCAACAAAATACTATTTTCCCTTTCTGTAACTCAACGAATGAATTCTAATGGAAACACCAGTAATGAAAAATACATCTTTACTGCTTTGACTCCAGCTGGTCAAGCAATAAATAACAAAGACCAATTCAAGAAGTATGAATAAGCCCTTAGGGGGTGGGGAAGGCAAAAAGCAGAATTTATGGCGCTCTGAAATAATTTGCAATTTATTTGCAGAAACTGCAACTGAAAGTTAAATCTAAACCAAAGTGTTGCATTCTTTTCATAGGATCCTCTCCTGACTAGGATGAGGAGAGAAGAAATACTGATCCAGTTAAGATAAGGTCAGTCAACTTCTAATGCAGAAATGCTCCTTCCAAAAATCTACTAATCTGCTACTTGACCCAATACAAGGAAAGCATAAATGAATTATTTCAGAAACAGACATCTCTAATAAAGCAGAGCAACAGTGCACTGCATTTGAAAAATCACTAGAGAGCACTAACGAGCAATTAATGGACATTCTTAAGTATTTGGAGATATAAATTATTAATTTGTAGGATAAACTAAGTAGCTGTATTTTTCCAAACCAACCTTCACCTAATCCAATCATTAAAAATCATTCCGTTTATGCACTAGCTCTTATATCAACTTTCAAATTCTTAAATTTCACTCCCTATTAACTATTACATTCATTTTTCAGAGTACTATTACATTACAAATAAACAACACTGAAAACTTCTGTATATTGCTCTGGATCACACTAACACAATAAAAATGCTGCAGTTGGATAACATAAATGTGCTGTATCTTTTAAAATATTACTAACCCTCTTTTGAGAATGGAGGGGGTGGAAGAGGGAAAGGTAACAAAGAATATCACCTAAGGTTTTCTCTGAATAGCTCTTGCATTTCAGTAGAAATCTAAAAACTTTCTCTTACAGTAAGTTTAAACAAAAGCTATAAACCTGCAAGTTCAGCAATGCTGCCAGCAGGACAGAATCACTTTGGTTTATATGTCCACCTAACCCTAAAAATAACTACAAAGACATACCCTACCTTCCAATATACCAAAATTCATTCTCCAATTTATACGCTTAGGTTTCAATTCTGGGTAGAGTCTGCCTCAGAAACTGTGTGACATTATCCCTATCAGATAACTATGTGACACAGAATTCAGCAACATACTGAAAATGCAGTGTAACATCCCTATATACTTGCATAACAGAAGGGTAACAGAATTAGAAGAGCTTCCCTTCATCAGGGATGATGAACAAAGGATTAATGAAATCTACTAAATCAGTGAAGGAATAAATGGGGCTGTTAATGGGAAAGGATTAAGAGCTCTCTAGCCTTTCTGGATTAACTAATGCATCAAAACAACTTCGGGTGGGGGCACAAGAGAGAAGAAATATTGCTGGGTTTAAAATAAGAAATAACCTTTAGTCTGCTCATACTACCATCCTAAAATGCTCAGTAGACTCTTGGAGCACTCTGGTAGGGCATTCTGATGTTAATACTATTCCTAGATTGATAAATCATGTGTATGTTTATACATGTGTATCTAGTTTTCTCCTTACAAGAATATTTACAAGTGTTAAGAAACTAACATTTATTTCTTGAAATACAGTATTCAGTAGTATTTTGACAACAAACACATCTTATGAGTTTCCAAAGTAAACTGATTTGACATGTAGCTTTGGTTATTCATTACCTGGTAATCTCATCATCTCCAAGCATTCCCTTGGGAATTGGTGAGTATCGCCCTGGTGATGCTGGAGGCAGAGCCTGTCCCAAGTAGGCAGATGGAGTGATATGGTTGTCCACTGGCTGAGAATAAGCTTCCAAGATGGGTAAAAATAAAGTAAGCATTTAAACAACGAGGAAAAGGATCTGGAGGAACTGAACCAAGGTATTATAATGAATGACCTCTCCTAAAACCAAAATATAACAGTCCAAATGACACAGTATAAATACAGTTCTAAAATACTGTCTCACATCTACAGATTTCCCAGTCTCCTCACCCTATGCCAGTAAAGAAGCTTTTCAGTCCATGTCTCAACTTTTCTTAGGATAAGACACTGTGGATAGCTGAAGTCCATGAGGACAGTCTGGAGATTTATCTATTTTTAAAGTTGCCTTTAACTTGACTGAAGTCAATTAAGAATTTTGGTTTCTTAAAACAACTACGTTGGACCACCAGTGAAAAAACACAACATTTTAATGTTATATGTCTTTCAAATTGTCAAGCTGTCTACCTACTGCATTCCTTAACGTGGAGCATACTGGCATCTCCGTAATTCTCTAGGCCATTCTGATTAACAGGTCTTATCAGGGAGGGATGTTACATTTCTCAGACATTAAACAAAACCATCTTTAATAGCACAGGTGCTGATTGTGATGCTAGCATGTGCTCAGCTAGCAGCACACATCAGGAAACCAAGGTAGGATTATTCCACCTCCGAACTCCTCAAGGTAAGAGGCATCAATTTACCGAGAGGAATAAACCACATAGTGCAAAAAATTTCAACTGTACTGCAAGGGTCACTTGCATTACTTACAGATTCATCGATTAAAACTAGAAAGGAGTATTAAAAGGATTTTGTCTAACCTCTTGCGAAACAGGGGGACAAACCTAGTGCATTAAGTGTGTATGTTTATTTGAACCATGCAACGCATACTAGAAAGTTTTAGCATCTTCATGATTTAAATTGATGCAGAATATTCTACAATTCCAGAAGAGTTGTTCTAATAAATAATTAACAGGGTGCATTCTATTTTCAAGTTGAATACATCAATTTTAACTGTCCATTTACCAGGTGTAGTCATACCCACTGTCTCCTATTACGCAGGATATTATATAATTGAAAAATCTTTCTCCTGGTGTAGGTGCTTCAAGCTGTGCAGCTTAAACATGGAGAGTAGGGACAGAGTACTGGAACAGGTTGCCCAGGGGGGTTGTGGAGTCTCCCACATTGGAGATATTCAAGGCCCGCCTGGACAAGTTCCTGTGTGAGGTACTCTAGGTTACCCTGCTCTTGCAGGGGGGTTGGACCAGATGATCTCTTGAGGTCCCTTCCAACCCTTGGGATTCTGTGATTCTGTGAACGTTATTAAAGTTGCAGGTCTCTTTTCTCTTATTCACTTGCTATATCTGATACGGTAATGGACCTTTGAGGATTTACACTAAACCAAAAGCATTTTAACTGAACTGACATGATGCAGACTGCAAAAGCGATGTGTATATTTTCCTTTTTCTTTTTAGATCACTGACAGAACACATCTGGATCATGCACACATTTCATGAAGAGTGTTTTTATATAATAGATTTGCTAAATAGCAAGTTTTCAAACTACCCAATCTGCACTGAATTGTTTCTGTATAATTCTAAATTTCTGGTAAATCACAGAATCATGGAATTGTTTGGGTTGGAAAGGACCTTCAATATCATCTAGTTCCAACCCCCCTCGCATGGGCAGGGACACCTCACACTTAACCAGGTTGCTCAAGAGCCTGCCCAACCTGGCCTTGAACGCTGTCAAGGATGGAGCATTCACCACTCTTTCAGGCAGCCTGTTCCAGTGCCTCACTACCCTCACAGTAAAGAACTTCTTCCTTACAACAAACCTGAACTTCCCTTGTTTAAGTTTTAATCCATTACCCCTTGTCCTGTCACTACAGTCCCTAATGAAGAGTCCATCCCCAGCATCCCTATAAGCCCCCTTCAGATACTGGAAGGCTGCTATGAGGTCTCCACGCAGTCTTCTCTTCTCCAGGCTGAACAGCCCCAACTTTTTCAGCCTGTCCTCATACGGGAGGTGCTCCAGTCCCCTTATTATCCTCGTGGTCCTCCTCTGGACTTCCTCCAACAGTTCCATGTCCTTCTTACTTTGGGAACACCGAAACCGTAAATTTGTGTGCAGTAAATTCCATATATGGAGTATTACATCAACACTGTCTTACCCTTGAGCAACAGTCTAATGCAAGAGGTCAGAGCCAGATATGGAACCACCTACAGCAATTTAATGGCTGACAAATACTGGTATCATATCTGATTAGCCAGATTGCTTCTCATTCTTTACAGCTTTGTCACAGTATTTCAGTTCTTTCAGCTTTCTAGACTCTGTTTCATCATGCATTAAAATCCTCTAGTAACAGCTTAGGTAGTTTAAAAGCTCTAGACGATAAAGTAAGTAAGTGTTCTATTCAGACACACCAGCCCTCAGTAAGTTGCATGCTCTGGTCTGGTACTGTGCAGAGGTTTTGGAAATTGCTACTCTTAATTCACATGTGGTTTCTGCAAAATTCAGAATCTGAGTGCAAGAGGTGGCCTTGTCCCCTTCTACAACACAGACAAAAGGAAGCTTCCTGAAGTCAGTTTCATGAGGTCTACAGCAAAGAACAATAACTCATAGAATCACAGAATACCAGATTTGAAGGGATCTCAAGGATCATCTAGTCCAACCTTTCTATGCAAAGTATTAGACCAGATGTCCCAACAACCTGTCACCCAAATCTTAAAATGTCCAGTGTCAGGGAATCCAACACTTCCCTGGGGAGACTATTCCAATGACTGATTGTTCTCACTGTAAAAATTCTTCCTCCTGTGTCCAGTCGGAATGTTCCCAGTAGTAACTTGCCCATTACCTCTCCTCTTTTCCATGTGACTCCTTGTAAAAAGTGAGTCTCCATTTTTTTTGTAGCCACCTTTTACTGAAACATGGTGATAAAGGTCTTCCCTGAGCCTTCATCTCTCAAGGCTGAACAAACCCAGTTCTCTCAGCCCCTTCTTACAGGACAGGCTTTCCAGCCCTTGGATCATCTCTGTGGCCCTTCTCTGGACCCTCTGCAGCCTTTTTAGCAGTTTTATCACTGCTTTTGCTAAAATCAAATTATCAACAAAAGCATTAATATTTGACAAGTCCCTAATCAGGAGCTGTTCAAGACAGATGACTCCTAAAACCATTTTGTAAGAACAGATGCAACACATATACACTGCATCTACATTCTTCTGCTCCCTGCAAGGATTCAAAGAATACAGATCCTACTACTTAATTCTTTCTGTCTGCCCCGGCACAATATGTAGATTCTATTCACAAAACTAACAGATTTGAATAGTTTTAAGTCAATTTCAAAACCCGGTTTTTAGCCACACTGGAGTTTTGGCTACAGATTTTCACAGCAGTTACCAAATCATATGGCAATCCTTACTTTTCAATTAAAAAAAAATGTATTTTAATACATTATATTTCCATGTCATTCTACCTACATTTTGCTTAAAGAAAGTGATACTTTAAAAATGACTACTGTAGATGCAGTTATTTAATTTTTCCTCAGAAAATTTTACAGGTAAAGCACAAAAAAAATGGAATGCAGACTTCATGCACTCTTTTCCAATCAGTCAAAAACGGGTTTTGATTTAAAAAACCTAAACAACTGTAGCACAGTATAACAGCTCTTCGCATTCTGCTAATGCACTACATCATTTATTTCACAAAATGAATTTCCAATTGCTTTTAACAAATCAGTGACAGCTATAATGATGGATATTTTATAGGAATTAGATTTTTCATAACATTCTATGCAATGACTTAATACTCATCTGATTGTTTTTAAGGTTTCTAAAGCTTTTCACTCGATCATGTTTAGAAAATACATACCACCTTATCCCGTCACACATTCTTATTTTTCATTCCCCATGTAACTAAAACTGCGATATCAAGCAATATAACAGTTTATTATTTCAGACCAGTGGAGTGCTCCATGTCAGCACTGGCTACCGTCATTTATAAAGTTCCACATATGCTGCTTGCTTAGGAAAGTCAGGTCCTTTCTCAAGGCTGATATTCTCAACGCTACCAAAGCAAACCTACAAGGCATAAAAAGGCTCTGTATGGAGTTTCTGGGGAAAAAAAAAAAAAAAAAAAAAAAAACCAACCAAAAAACCAACTCCTGTGCTTTTCCTAAACTATTTTAGCTGGAAATTATACCCAAAGAATATTCTTGAGGAATGTGACAGAAATAAAAGGCAAGCCATCACTTTCTGAATACTAAATCAGATCTAAACTTATACTTCCAAGTAAATATTATTACTGATGTAACTGATACAGGAACTGTGTTTTGAATGAACAGAAAATTACACACATAAAATGAACTTGCTTTGACAGGAAAAGTCAAAGACTCTCATGAAGAAATGGTATTTCCAAATCCACCCCCTCTCCCTTGCCATAGCAGTTCTACACAAAAAGAAGGAAGATTTCCTATTATTTCCCTATTATCTGCAAACTGAGAACACTCGTTACACCTGTAATCTGAAAAAATAGGAAATATAATTAAAACTTTATTGTCATTTACTGTTATTACATATTCTTCTCTTCCTGTATTTATGCCAATTGAAGAATGATAAGACAATTACGTCTCTAGTGAGGAAACTGATTATTCTCTACCTTGCAGTATTTTATTTCCCAATGCAGGATGGATATACTGTATCAATGCACAGAGACACAAAGGAAAAATACTTTAAAATTGCTTAGGAGTTGAACTTGTATCATTAATAATGTCTTCAAAGGAGGCCTGTATACAAAGCAAATCCTCTGTCTCTTGAACTGTAGATGCTTTTCTGACTGAGAGTCTACAGTATGCACTACACTGCACTATACAGGTAATGGGGTTTTTAAATAGCAAGTTCTAGACCTTTTTAGTAATATTTCAGCTGAATAACTTTAAAAGCATTTATACTAACAAGCTACTGGAAATTTTTTTCCAAGATCCACTGAATGGCCAACAATATGTATTACTGATGCAATTTACATTCCCTACTGACACAGGGCTTACTACAGAAGACTAAGAGCTATGATTATCCAACACTTTTGGTTGTTTACATACTGGTTCAGGTTGTATCACTGGCATTTTAGTCCAAAAGTGTTATTTTGTTCAAATTAAGTAATACTTGGAACAGATCAGTGCTACACACCAATTACTCATATCTAACAGCAGGAAACAAAGAAAGAAAAAAATGCCTATAATAACTCTCCCCCAGAACCATTTTATGTGACAAGTAAGAGTGGTCATTCAGAAAAGTCCACCTTTTCAGTCTTACATGATCCTCATCCCTTTCTCCAAACATGAAATGGCAATGTTCCTCTTGAAGAAACAGTACATTAAATTCAATTTTTTTCTTTACACTGTAGTTCAACCCTTAATTTTCCGGATTCTGACATCTGACTTCAAAAAGATTCCTGTAAGTAGTACCCTTATGTAGACAAGAAATCCTTGGAACTATTTTCAATACAGCATTCACTGGTTTTCCCTTCGAATTATCAACACATATGTCAAAACTGAAGTAAGATTTTATGTTAACATGGAATCTCACAACATCTGCAGACAGCCATCAGAGGTCAAGACCTCCCCCTTCCTCCCCGTCCCGTTTATTCAAGTAAGTGCAGCTCATGAAAAAGCAAGAAAATGAGGAGGGAGTGGGGGAAGTCAGAACATCACTAACCTCTACCTGAAACAGTACTGTCTTTTGCTCAGTACACAGGACACTGAACATCTAATGCAGTGCATTGTTTGTTACTTTCCACAGCCTCCGGGATAATGAGACATATGTTCTCCTTGTACTCATCAGCAAGTGATCAGAAACATCGAGTCACTAGGACTAGGCCACTAGTCATGGAAATACATTGAGCCCCACTGCTGCTGTTTTTTCAGTACAAAAATTATGTTATTCTGTTCAGCATATAATTCTCCTGACTAATCAACTTTCTTGTATCAGATCTTTTCACTGTATAATTTTTAAAAGCTTTAAACTGTTAAAATATTAAAAATGGGTATGTTAAAGCCTTTAAGGAAAAAATCATTAAATCACAAAGATAAGCTTGACTTACAGTTCGTGATGTCAGGAGGGGCATAACTGTCATTCATGAACATGCTGGTGGGTTTTGCAACTTTCAGATAAACAAAGTCAGAAGTGTTTTTTAAGGCAGTCACTGCTTCTTCATGTGTAACTTCTTCTAAGCAAACACTGTTCACCTAAAGAGAAAAGAATAAACCAATTCTCAACATGGAAAAATCTATGTTTTCATAGGACACTCACTGAAAGCTGTTGGAGCACTCTAGTCTGGCTTTAGTCTTTACCAGGATTCATGTGCCACAGACAATTGTTTATATAAAAGTTACATAAGCAATGCTTCACAGTGCTCTGAAATACAAGACAGGCAAGTCTTTACTGGAGAAATTACAATAAACTGTATTGACTGTACCATGATAAAGGCAGCACACGTCTTTGGAAAACTAATGGGACAAATATGACACTCAAAATGCGGTGCGTATGCACAATCACAGCACTGACACAATATATTACTGCAAGCATTAAACACAAAAAGTTAATATAGTACGAATAAATCCCACATATTCTTGTCATGACATAATTTCTAGACATTACAATGGGACATATCCTTGCAAGAGGTCAAAAGTAGGGTTCAAAACTGGAGAAGATCCCAAAGTGACTGGTTTCCGTGCCAAGTAACAAGAACTAGTTTAATTTTACAAGAGAAACTCTATCACTGCAGTTAAAACAAACAAACAATCCTTTAACAATTTCTGTATCATATAAAGCTTTAGCAATTGAGCTGCTGCCCTCTTTTCCATATTCTGACGAGCGAAGTAACTTCTGCAGCTTGTTCCAGGTAACGCGAGAAACAGGGCTTGTCCCTCACTGAATCTGAAGGACCTAAGACACTTTCCTTGGATTACTTCACTTTTTATACTGTGTAAAAACAAATGGGCATTGTCAGCTGTTATTTGTAGGAGGAAAACTCTACTGCTTAAATATATTCTATTGGTACTCTCTAAAAGTTTCCTAAAAAGTTTCTAAAATCCTCTTACTGGTGTATTTTTATTTTTTAACAGCTTTAAATTCCAGCCACTCCTGATGACTGAAGACATTTTGCAGTGCACTGACAATGCAGTGCAACTTACACACAGAAAGTTACATTCTGCCAAATGTGGCAGCTTACCTCTACATCAGTGGGCAAAGCTTTGACTAAGTGAAATTCAACTAACCAGAAGATATTATAGATGATATTTTACTCACTTCTTTCCTAATTTATGAATTCAGGGAACAATTACAGTTATAATAAATTAGGACATCATGTCCGCTATATCAAACTCCACATTGCATATGCTCCTTACATCCCCAAAACAGTATTTCGTATTACTACAAAACTACTTTTATTTTGTCAAGCAATTATTTTTAATGGCTGAAGTTATACTGGGCTAAGTAATTTGTCACACGCTTGTGATATTTGCAACAATTCCTTATTCCTTAAAATAAGGAGTTAAATAAGTTACAATAAAAAGTTTTATTCCTTAAAACCTTCCATGTATTTTACAATACAAGCAAGTTAGCGTGATTTTTTTCTTGTACAGGTAACAAATTGTAACACTGGAAAGCAGTATGTCATTAAAAACAAGCTTCCCAGTGCCCTTGCACTGCAGGGAAGTCCTATAATCAAAAAACTTCCTATGATGCAGATTTTAAAACCTAACATATTAACAGCATTATCAAGTAGCTGGGTCTTGGCTTTGTGAATTTGCATGGCATATGAATGTGTGCAGTTAGTAAGAAATATAGTGTATATATGTATACAGATATAAAAATATATAGTAAACAATCTGTTTTTTCCTCCCAATTCTCATATTAAGCTCTCATGTCTTGAACTGATTTCACAGAACCACCCTGTAACACTATGATCTCATTCATAATACTTAAAAAAAAAAAAAAAAGCAGGATTCTGTACCTGTAAGTGGCCTCAGTTTTCCCAGCTCTGTATTTGTAAGCAACAAACTTATCCAAAAATTTTTTTTTACAGATGGGAAACTGCAATAAACATTTAGAGTCAGTTTCTTACTGATCAAAGAGCAGTAGAGCACATATTCTGCTGTCATCTACTCTGAGTAAAGATGTACTCAGAGCTCCTGCAGATGTAGGTACTGCCTGGTAGACGTAGAAGGGTGGAGCACTTACACCTTACAAGAGTTTAGTTTACAGTTCAGGCATTCATTCAGAGCCCTGCTCTCTTGTTTTCCTAGCTGGACAACTACATTTGCAGATCGAATTTAAGAAAGTTTGAAGTTATTTTTACTTTGTGCATAGAAAATTCAACTTTGAAGTATTTTAAGCTTAACCCCCCCTTTACCCCACCAAGAAAAAAAAAAAATCTACCACACTGAAAGCATTACACTGAAATCCAATGTAAGCAGCAGTTCCACTGAAAGCTGGCCAGCCATCAGTACAAGGAGTTCCTTTCTGTTCTTATTCTTTGAAAAGAGAAACAATCCCATTGTAAGCTGGTTTACAAGCCTGTCACTCAGATCCCAGAACAATAAATGTAGGCATCAGAAATAGACATATAAATTTTGCATGAAACACTGGGCTGAGGAACAGATTTCCTGATGAGAGGGTGTTGAATGCTGGAGATTTAACACTTATCAGCTATTTTCTGGCAATATCAATTTTTCTACTGATTTCTATGAAATAACACTCTACACAAAATGAATCATGCCCTTACTGTGCTTAAAAGTGAATGACCATTAAAACAAACTAAAAAAAAAAAAAAAAAGCAAGCAGCTCTTTCTTACAGCTAAAAGTTTGTCTCCAATCTGAAGCTTCCCATCTTTATGTGCTGCCCCGCCTTCAATGATTTTGGTTACATAGATGCTGTTGTCTCCAGGTATATGCTGATTTCCCACACCACCGGCAATACTGAAACCAAGACCTGCTTGAAGATAAAGTCATTACTCAAGAAACCTTTTAGCATTCATTAGATTCACATTATTATGTTCCTAATAAAGCTATTTGTATCACACCTACACATACAAAAAAATATTAGGCTCTAGCTGAAGCAATGCTGGATGCCTTTCCAAGTGAACTCCATAATTTTCCAGAAAGTTCTGGAAAATATGTAACATTTACAAAAGTTCTGAAAATCAAAAGCTAAATAATTTATTTCAGACTTTGTGAAAGACGCTCACAGCAGAGCTAAAACATCACCACTGACATTTAAAAAAACACTGTCCAACATTTACACATACAGAAACAATGCAATACTTCATATATTTTTGATCCCTTCAAGACCCTTTCCAGGTAATTCAACTAAATATTTTATTCCCATTTGTAATACATTTTCAAATTAATAAATGTTATCAGAAAAACATTTTTATCACTTGAAAGAAAAATATGCATTCGACAAAAAAAGTTTCAAGACACACAGATGAAAATCCAGAAGCATCTGAGATGCCATTATTTTATCCTTCATTATTCTGCATTTCCTATGATTTTATATACAAGGTACTATTTTATTTTGGAAAATAAATGCAAAAACCTATCATCAGCTTTATCCTTCTTGTGAAACAGAAGCTTTGTATTTCCTACGTACCTTTAGGCCCTTTTACAAGTTTGATTTCCACTATTTTTTCTGTGACTGGTTTTCTTCTTTTGACATACAATCGTACAATTGATCCCGCTTCTTTCAATGCTTCAACTGCTTTACTGTGTGTCACATCACGAACATCCACCTCATTTACTCGTAGAATACAATCGTTAACCCTAGAGACAGAAACATTCATGTTCAGCTGTTGTGGCACAGCAGAGCAGACAAATTAGGAGCCTAATATTTTATTTACAGAATACTAACATTATTTTTATCTACAGAATACTAACATTATTTTAGACAGTATTTTGAGCTGAGGTTTGTACAAACTACTTTTAGGGCTATAAGAAACAATAAAAAAAATTCAGAATCTAGAAGACACACAATGAGAACACACTAGTTTTAAACCATGAAAGGAACAAGTCAACTTCCATTCCTGCTTTTCACAAGCTAAGGGCTGACCTTCCACTCTATTTAACATGTTGCTATAATAACACTGAGCTCTCGTTACAACAAGAACAATGCCTGACCCACCTGTCACCTCGTTCTGCCAGATGTACCTCTGACAATGGGCAATGGCTAAAATGACGCCTTGGAATAAGCTTACTAGGACTAAAAACACTAATGCATCATTTGCACAGAAAATGACAGGGCAAGTTTGTGACAACACAGGGGAAAAAAGCTGGTCCTACAATCACATGTGTTTTTTTTCCACACAGTAATACAGGAATATACTTAAAAGACTGTTCTGGGTTAGAAAAAATAATTAACACACTTTGTTATTAACTTCTAACAGCAGTCTTCAAGGGAAGTTGCAAGTATCACTTGCTACCATCGAGTAATATGCCAACATTTCTTCACTAGGAGTTAAGTAGCAGTATCAGTCCACAAATAAGAAAATGTGGTATAATGGAGAAGGAGTACTCAATGTAAATAAAAAATGCTGCTTCTGAAGATGTGCAGTATCTTTGAAAAATGAAGACACAAGCATGCCAAGCATAAAACAGGGTTGTTATTAAACTCAACTATCCTGCAGATCAGAATATCTGCACATGGAAAACCAAGAGCTACCTATGCAATCTAAGCTTTTCCTTTGCATACTGAATTAAGGACTATAAAATATACAGCATAATCAATTGACACCACCAGATAGACAAGGTGATAATTATGCTTAAATGCAGATTTTATTGGAGAGTGGGGGGAAAGGTGGAAACTGGTCCACTCAAGCATTTTTTATTGCTTACAAACCACTTCTGTAAGAAAAACTTAGTGAATGTAGTATAGCATGATAAAACTACTGGAAGTAACAGAAAATGTTTTATCTACTGTTTGAAAATATAATAATAAACATTTAGCAACCCAACACAGAAAATCATCATACCGTAATCTTCCATCCTGTGCAGCTGCACCCCCGGCTATAATTTTTGTAATAAAAATACTTGAATCATCCCCAATATGTGGGTTGTCTGTACCACCTGCAATGCTAAAGCCAAGTCCTGAATTTCCCTGAAGGCAGAGGGGGGAAAAAAATTAATTACACATTTCTTTTGGGGGGAAAAAGATACTCTAGTATATCTATTTGATTCAATATAGAACCACATCTGTATAATTTTCAGTGATAAAGAAATGTTAAAGGACACGTCAAGCAGTATAGTACATATAACCATTTATAAGATATAATTATACTTATTTTCATAGAAGTAACGAGAACTTAAATCATTATGTAACCCTAAGAGATACAGTCCCAACTCCACATCTTTCTTCTTGAAGTGAACTAGATAAAAATCTTCCCTGCCTAGTGAGACCTCACTTGGAGTATTGTGTGCAGTTCTGGTGCCCTCAACATAAAAAGGACATGGAACTGTTGGAACAAGTCCAGAGGAGGGCCACGAGAATGATCAGGGGACTGAAGCACCTCCTGTATGAAGATCGGCTGAGAAAGTTGGGGCTGTTCAGCCTGGAGAAGAGAAGGCTGTGTGGAGACCTCACAGCAGCCTTCCAGTATCTGAAGGGGGGCTATAGGGATGCTGGGGATGGACTCTTCATTAAGGACTGTAGTGATAGGACAAGGGGTAATGGGTTAAAACTTAAACAGGGAAGTTTAGATTGGATATAAGAAGGAAATTATTTCCTGTTAGGGTGGTGAGGCACTGGAATAGGTTGCCCTGGGAGGTTGTGAATGCTCCATCCCTGGCAGTGTTCAAGGCCAGGTTGGATGAAGCCTTGGGTGATATGGTTTAGAGCGAGGTGTCCCTGCCCATGGCAGGGGGGTTGGAACTTGATGATCTTAAGGTCCTTTCCAACCCTAACTATTCTATGATTCATACAAATATTTGCTTCTCATTATTAGTAAAGAATTATTTTTCCTGGAGAAGCCCCAAGTGATTTGTGTCACATATGCAATATACCCTCACAGATGCAGAGATTCAGGCAGACGTTTCTCTTTGAAGGTTGCCCTCCCTTACTGCAAGACCTCTTCACCTTCTCAGTAACCACGAGAACTGCACAGGTATCAAATATAACCATTTCTTCCTTTTTGTTAACAGTGCAGCTCAGTGAAAGGGAACTGAGATGGATCTCAAAATTGTAAATATTATGTGATTGTAAATATAATGTAATCTCAACTGGAAGCCCTGAATCTCAATATAAAACTTAGTGGTATAAGTAAACATGTATTATATATGGCAATATAGGAAACTAAATCATAATTTATATTATTGATCTCTACAAGCCTAGATAATAACATTAAAGGCAGTATGTCTCAGGGAAGATCCTTCCCCCATTTTGCTCTTGGACAAGGATATTAATAAAAACTTATATTCCTGGCTCCAGAAATTGGGTGTGTTTTTATTTTATTTAAATAATCTAAAAGGAAAAAAGGCAGGGGGAGGTGGGAGAGGAGGAATCAAACAGTAAAGACTGGTTTCTTTTGTATTGCCATTTAGCAGTATCAAGAGGCTAATTCTTAGTATTAAAGTATTATACAGAAAGACAGTTATCACGTTACCCTTTCAAGAGTGATTTCTTCATACTCATAATCTGCATCTGTGCCATTGACCTATAAAGAAAGAAAACTGAGACTTAGAAAGAATTTTACACTTTACACATCAGTTTGCCTGGCTCCCACCAAATCTCAGCTGATTCAGTGACCACTGAGCTCAGAGGGGACATGGGATTTTCACACTGCTCTGTACATGAATTTCTATGAGTTTAAAAGTCAATATTTCAGAGAGCAGGCTGCTCTATGCAGATAATCTAGAGCAGGGGCATTCTTCTGATTGCCAGGAAAAATAACCAAACCAATCAAAATACTCTTGAGATCCTCACATGTTCTCAGGCCATAAGGCAAGTTGAAATTGAGAAAAAAAAAGACATTGTGGGCTACAGAAGAAATTGCATAGAAAAGAGCAGTATTTTCAAACTTGCCTGTCATGGAGCAGAGAAAAATCAAAGACTGATGCTTTATGCCACTTCTCACTAGAAATGGGCAAGATCCTTATAAAGCAATTTTTAGCAACTGCTTATATTATTCTATTAGTATTTATCATGTTATATATATATACTAAAGATCAACCAATTAAAACAGGACCAAAAAGAGAAGTTTAGAAGTTTATTTCAAAATGCTGGATGAAAAGCCCCAATACTAGAAGTAAGCCTTGTCATCCCTAAGCTAGAAAGGAGAGTCTTTGGCATCTACAGAACAGGAATAGAATTTATTAACAGAGGTAATAAATACTTATATTAAGCAAAGCCAATGAAATATCAAATTCTTAATATTTAATATAAAAATATTATGAACATTTTTATGATTACTAGGTAATTATAAAAAATATAACATTTTTTAATTACTAAGATATCTTGGAACTCAAATTCATTCCTCTACAGTTACCTAGAGCAACATATACACCATGCAGGTACAGGAAATTCCCTATTTCAAGCCTTTTAGGATGAAATATTTAACAAAGTAAAAAACAGCATTTCTACTACTATTTTACAAAGCATCTGTGTATTCTTAAGATACCTGGTAGTCTTGTGTACTTTTTAATATACTATTCAAGATTTAAGGACACAAAACATGCATACAAGAAAGCATTTTAAAGGATCTGTACAGTTTTCTAGCAGAGAATAAAAAAAGGGGACTTGAATACAACCCGAGTAAAGTCAGAATCGCATCTACTTGATTCCTTGTATCTTTATATAACATATTTTAAAGCTCCAAAAACTGGACGTGAACCTTCACGGGTTACATACTGTCAAGCTCATTTATCCCTCACTACAGTCTTTCCTCAATCTAGAATTATTCTCCCCTTAACACAAATACCAGCCATGCCCATTCCAGACATAACAGATTGTTATCATCTTCTTTGTGCAGTACCTCAAAAATTATCATGTCCTTAGTGGTTTGTTTAATGGAAAAGATACGGTGGTTTCAACACGTGATATTTGTTCATTAAAAAGGGAAGCGGTCTTGACCGTACAAATACATGAAATTATATCTATTACTACACTGACACAAAAGGAGCCACCATGATCAGGAAGTCCTTGAGCTATTTACCTACAAGGATGACAACATGTCATCCAGCATAACAGTACCTGGGAAACGGTTCATGATGACTGATCAGTATGTGGGGTTTTTGGTTTGGTTTTGTTGTGGTTTTTTTTGTTTTGTTGGTTTTTTTTATAAATAACAAGGACAGATATTTATTTCTCTTGTCATTACTGTCAGCAAAACAAAGCCAATGTTTTTGCAGTGTTGTTTATTTCTATGTACAAAACTCCAACCCAATTTTGAAATATTAACATTTTGAAATATGACAAACAGAAGCAAACAAGAATTTCCACCATTTTTGTCTTCCAGTTTAGCTGAGTTTTGTCTTCCAGTTTAGCTCAGTTCTATAGTCTTTTTTTTTTTTTTAATAAAAAATACTTTTGAATTTATTTTATCTAACAAACTGAATTTATTTTATCTAACAAACATTAGCCGAGACAGGAGCAAGGACACATCAAATGATAAAAATCACTGCCATTTCCACCATTTGCAATGATCTCACATATACTAAGCCAGGCTTTATTTGCAGGGACTTCCCCTTCAAACACAACCAAGTCATTGTTATGAACATTTAGAACACTAAAACCTTAAGCATAGCCACTGCATGAAGAAGTGTTTTTATGAGAAATGCAACAGAAATGGTACATTAAATATTAAAGCATCTGCCTGCACAGTTGAAGAAACAGACTGTTCTCTGAACGTAAACTCTGGAACCTCAAACAACAGAGGTGATCCTGCCCCTTTACTCTGCTCTCGTGAGATCTCACTTGGAGTATTGTGTGCAGTTCTGGTGCCCTCAACATAAAAAGGACATGGAACTGTTGGAACAAGTCCAGAGGAGGGCCACGAGGATGATCAGGGGACTGGAGCACCTCCCATATGAAGATAGGCTGAGAAAGTTGGGGCTGTTCAGCCTGGAGAAGATAAGGCTGCATGGAGACCTCATAGCAGCCTTCCAGTATCTGAAGGGGGCTCTTCATTAGGGACTGTAGTGATAGGACAAGGGGTAACAGGTTCAAACTTAAACAGGGAAAGTTTAGATTGGATACAAGGAGGAAATTCTTTCCTGTTAGGGTGGTGAGGCACTGGAATAGGTTGCCCTGGGAGGTTGTGAATGCTCCATCCCTGGCAGTGTTCAAGACCAGGTTGGACGAAGCCTTGGGTGATATGGTTTAGTGTGAGGTGTGCCTGCCCATGACAGGGGGGTTGGAACTTGATGATCTTAAGGTCCTTTCCAGCCCTAACTATTCTATGATTCTATAACTGGGGGGCTTCTTGTTTGCTTTTGGTTTGTTTGGTTTTTTTGGTTTTTTTTTAATGTATGAAACAGGTATGTAAGGACTTCAAATGACCATCAGGAGAGCTGGGGAAATCAAGCACCACAGAGGTAAAGTCAGTTTTATTAAACAGTAACAACAGACCTACACAACAACATACATAAAGCATTATCTTAAGTTATAACTGAAAAGTAGTGTAGACTTACATATGTTGGTGTCTCCAAAGAATCTGTATTCACCAGCACGGGAGGAGGGTTTGCCTTTAATAAAAGAAAAAAAATAATTATACAGCATAAGAGAAAGCAACACTAATGATAATTATGAATATTTAATTTGCTGAGCTTCTCAAAGTTCTATCAAAAGGTAGCCTGGGCTTAAGAACCTCCAGAATTCACCTACTGAAACATTTGTTTCTACCTGAAATGCTTTTCTTTTTTTTTTTTTTTTTTTTTTGACAAAGCAACGCTCTTCAAAACTCCGAGCTCGTATTTCATACACAAGTTCTGTCATTTATTACCTTGTTTTTCAAAAACAAAACAAAATCTGAGCCATGCTATCTTTTGATATGCCAGTTACTGTAGAACTTGTGGTATGACATTCAGAAGTTGCTTTATCAACCAGTGTTCTTCTTTCTTCATACAAGGAACACATTTCCCCCACACCCCCTTCCTCTTCAACCTGCAAACTGGAAACTTACAGAAATCCAGACTTTGGGAAAAAGGACCTACAAAACTGACTTGGAAAGCAAATCCACAGCAGACCTTCATCTACCACAGCAGCAAGTGCTTCCATCAGAAAATTGTAATGGATTCACAAGCAATAAGTAGTCAGATATTACTGCTACACATATGAAGTAGTATACCATTCTTGCTAGGAAGGAACTGGTAGAGTAAGCTAATACTTTTACTCTCTGATGTTAATGAGATTTTTCTTCTGCAAAAAATGTGGTTTCAACTGGGGGGGGGGGGGGGAATCTCCATGCAGACTTACGGGATTTATATGTGAAATGAATCCAACTAAACAGATTCCCTATTTTTACATCAAGTATCTGCCTTTGAAATAGGCAGCATCTAGCCATCTCTAAGAACCAACAAACCAAATGTGCAGATATATGAAAGTTAATGTCCTTACTGCTTCCATGAAGATTTATATATATATATATATATATGTACACAGATCCATAATTTTAAAATTAAGACATTATTTGTTTAATCACTTATGTGTGCGTGTGTGTGTGTGGAAATAAATTTAGGGGCAGCTTAACAGGCTGCATTAAACAGCATTAAACCCACAGACCTATGCTATTCAACTGTATTTTAATTTCAATACCATGACAACATATTTCTGAAGACATAATCATTCCTAAAGCTTAAAGTCTGTAAAGATGCTATCAAACAGGTTGGGTCTCACCCAGCAATTCTCTTAGTAGAAGCATGCACAGAAATCAACTATTAGTTATATATATATAAATCAACTAGTATTCCAAAGAAAATCTGTCAAAACAATGCTATCCCCCACATGTTCTGCCATTAAGTTACAATCTAATTTCTTATTCGTGAAAATTCTACTAAAATAAGATTAAATTAAAATATCATGTATTAAAAACACCAATCAAATTATTCATCACTATCCCTGCAAGAGCTTTACAATTAACACAGTTGTAAGAAAACCTGAACAAAACAATGCATTGTATTAACAAGAACCTGATGGAATATGAGGCATTAGGTTCCTCATCTCCACTGAATCTACAAGAGACCAGTGTATATATATTCATTTTATATTCGTGCAGCAACTATGAAAAGATTTCTACTTCTGAAATAGAAAACAAAGATTCATTTTGAAAGTTCAGTCACATTCTTTATATTTCAGCCAATTTTTTATTTTTAAATAATTTGATATTATTAATTTAATGCACTACCCAAGGATATTTAACAAAAGCAGTGCCAGTGTCAGCTGCCTTCCCACGAATCTGTTCTCGAGGCTAAGTGTTTTAATGTCTTAAAGAAAGAAGAGGAAGTCTAAATAAATGCAAATTGCTACTACTAGGTGAGGATTCTACATGAACAGTGTATGTCTGAGGCACAAACTAGTCAACTGATTCAAAACACCTTCTGTAACTTAAGAGACTGTTCTTAACACTCCTCCTGCATTTATCCAAATCCTCCATCAAGAAGCAATAAATTACCACCATTTCCAAGCAGGAGGGAGAATAGCTTTGTGTCAGGCATTCCAAAGGTGTGCCTGGACACTGCAAAGACACAAGACAACATACAAATCAAAACATCAAAGGTTTCTGGAAGGATGACCTAGTATTTCAGTCTGTTTTGCAACAGCTCTCCAAATTACCTAACACTTTCAAGCTTCTGTGCCAGGGCTTGTTCAAATATTTAAAAGCCATTTGACAAGTTTGTTTACAAGCAGACTAAGGGTTTGCCTAAGGGGTAAAAGTGATTAACAAAACACAGAGACATATCTATTCCTCAAAAATGCATCTGCCAAATCCAAAGTTGATTATAATTTTCTGTGGTATTTTCTAATTGCTTAGAATCAGCAACGATGTAGAATTATACAGCTAACTCCTGCAGACATTTCTATGCACTCAAAGGCACAGGTCACACAATTCTTACTTTTCTGCCTATAATTCAGAATCATTAGTGGAAAGTACTACTGTCACAGCAATGGCAGCCAAATACACACAGAACTAATTATTTTACTTTAGATTATCTTTAGCCTAGTGGCAATTCCCTGAAGTACAAGCCACTGGAGACTCGAGTTATCTTTATCCATCAAGGCGGACAGCAGAAGTCCACTGGTTGCACTAGTCAGTGTGCCTCAAATCCCGATGTGGGCATAATCCCTCTATAAGAAAGAAGTATTTCTGAAACGAATCAAATCTCTGGTCTGTCTGTTGGCAAAAGCATGGGTGACAAATTTGTGTAGACACACATCCACCAGAACTTGCAATATAAAACAGGCAACTGTAAAACTTTTGATAATTATTGGATTATGCAAAATCTAACAATGTAGAAGAGATTAAAAAAAAAAAAAAAAAAAAGATCAGCAGCTACTGGAAGTTTACCCATGTGGCTTGAAAGCAGACCTTCAGAAAAAAAATACTGACATAATTACTACAAAAATAATCCAGTAATGTTCTGCACAGCTTCATTCCTTTTTAAAGTCAGTATCTGCTACCACATAATTCCAGAAAGAGGTCCATCTTTTCATCATTTGAAACACTTGCACTGAAAGTGACAGAAAAGTTACTCCCCAAAAAAATCAAAGCAGAATGCGATTCTATAAATGTCACTGCTACCTATCCTAAATTATTCCATAGCTTGCCATGCTGTCGTCACATATTCCAAGTTATATGCAGGATATTAATGTTAACTAATGTTTACTGCTTTCATTTCTCTTGACAGGGTTTGAGGGGTATTTGTTTCTCTACCCCCCTCCCCCCGGGTTTGCTTGGGGTTTGTGCGTGTTGACATTATGTTACCTAAAGGAAGAAGGTCCAGAAGGGAAGCACATTTTATAAGTCAAATACACTGTGAATTGAACCCTCAAGGGGCACCCCAAGGACACCAATACTAACAGATGCCTGGAGAACATTGGAAACTTCATGCAAGTGCAATCAGTGAAAGACATGCATTAAGTATTTGTATATGAGACAGAGAATTTTTTTCTCATAAATAATTAAATCAAGTAATAAGATTTCAGCAAGGATGAAATGGCTCTAAAAGTATTATGTGAACACACAATGTCCTATTACTTCTTTCCATTCTTTTGGTTGCTTTTTCTTCTTTAGTTATTTCACAGCTTATTAATATGTTCCCATTACAAAAATCTAGGTGTTTTAAATTGACTGAAATCTGCTATAAAAACACACACAAATTAGGGTGAAACTAGCATATTACTAATTTGGCTATTTCACAGTTCATCTCAAACCCGTGTGCATGAGAGTACCAAAAGGTGAATTTAAACACAACAATGAAATAAACTGCATAAATAAAAGTTGAACAAATTTACACAAGCACAAAAAGAAAACAAAAAAAAAAGTAATAAAAACCTGTGGTATGGTGGATGGGATGACAGTGGTCTCAGCAGGGACTGGTGGGACAGGGATCACAGGGACAATGGGAGAAGAGGAAGGAACAGCTTCTGTGGGCTAAAAATCACCAACAAAATGTCAAAAATAACAAAAAACAGAAAACATTTTCAACAAAATTCAAACTTAGCAGCTTAAAAAAAAAATTTCTGAAATAGCATACGGATTTAGACTATACCTACAACTGAAGACAAACAGCCACCTTTCACCATGCGGTATATGGCAGTGCATTCTCAGTAACATGCTAATGTCAAAGACCTCAAAGTAGTAAGACATATCCAGATTGCTCATTTATACCAAGCTACTCACCCTGCAGTACAGAGTGATGAGACTTTAGGATCCAACAGAAAACCTGTTTATATCAACAGACAGACTCAAGCTTTTTGTGGACTGGTTTCACAACAGAAGCCCCTCACCAACATACAACAGTGTGCAAAACAAGGAAACAGTGGCTAAAGTTGATAGCACCGAACAAAGTTAATATTCCTTTTCGATAAAGGGGTATAATCAGAAGTACATTAACGTTTCTGAAGTGGGCAAAAACAAAGAAATGTTTTTAGTTAAATGTGCAGAAGCTCCTAAAATAGATTCAATCTATATTTCAAAGATCTTCATACAGGTTTACAATAAACCTTCAGACCAGGAGAATTTTAGGCTACGAATTATCATTAAAATAATAATCAGGAAACCTACTGTCACGTCACCTGCAATGGAACAAAATTACCAATAGCCTTTTTAGCAAAACATTGACTCGAATCATTTTTAGATGTTAACATACTGGTTGTCAACAAGCTGTCAGCAACATGAACTACTGGTAACTATTACTGAAATTACAATCTGAAGAGCACATCAAAGTCCTTGCAACTTAGTTGTTACAAGACATTCTTGTGATCTCTAAACAAAGCATCATGACACAGAAAATACTAAATCCTGAAAATGAACCAGGATACCAGAACATAATAGTATTAAGCATACTTTAAGAGTCAGATCTTTTAAAACACAAAGCATCATACAACAATAGCATACACTAAATTAAAGAGTAAAAGCAAATATTAAAGAAACCTGAAACAGCCGAAAAGCAGCAACCCCTAATAAATGTACGTATGGTATTTCTACAAAGGGTTTTTTCAACTCCATATACCCAAAATGAGCAGCTGGTGAAAAAAGTTGCACTTATCAGAAGATGTAAGAACAAGATTTGATATCTTGAAAGTTTACTACCAATGTAATTTAGGCATCATTACATCTATAGACAACAGCACAATCCTTCAAGTGTTACAAAAAAGAAGGGTGAGGGAACATCTAAACTGGCCTAGAAAAGTGATACTACACATTCTGCAAAGGATGCAGGAAATACTTAGCACAACAAACCTCCAGTTACTGGAAGAACGATGCAACCTTTAGAGGACAGATCGAATTAAACAGCTTGAGCAATCATTCAGCTCTACACATGCAAAAAATAAGCCACTGCTTCAAGTCTGCCCTGTTCCAAAGTAAGCAGCTTCCCATGTATGTACATAGTAAAAGTCCCGTTAACCACAATTTCAGATATACACATATTACGTATCAAAACATTACACAGCATTAGCGCTGAAAAGCTAAACTCTAGCAGGACAGAAAAAAATCCAGCTTTACACTTACAACTCCTGCAATACGAGAAGGTTAAAAACAAACTGAAATTATTCTTAGATACTGACCATACACCTCCCTGCCTTTCTGCTTACCAAAAGAACTGACCAAGTCACAGCTGATTTCCTTATGGGCCAAACCATCTGCACCCCAATGGCAGCTTTATTCCCCTGCTTTCTCTCTTTTCCCAGTTCTTAACTCCCACATCTTTCTGGGCCTGTCATTCCCAAATGCTTCAAGAATCCTTACAAACAGTTCCAATTTCTATCATTATGTCAAAACTGACATTGTCCAAAGTCCTTTAACTCTTTCTGGTTCCAGTCTCCTAAGCTGTTAGTACTGTTGTCATATTTTTCCTTTGCACTGTTGGTTTAGCTGAAAAAAGCTGCTCCCTGCTTCTCCTGGCTGTGTTCTCTGGAGTCTCCTTCACTACCATGTGGGTGAGGAAAGAGGAGATAACACTGGCAACCACTTTCACAGGATGTTTAACTCCAAATGAAGGTAAGACTGTCTTCAGTTGGACATTTCATGGAATACAGTGAACTGATGCAGGCAATATGGCTATCACAAGTGATGACAATGTAAGAAACTGAAGTATTTTTAATTGTCAGCAAAAGAAGACCTGGTACTTCCTTGTAAAAGAACACCACTAATTTTCTTTTAGTATAGCATATAGTAAGTCCAAAAATTATTATATCATACAGGTATCTGAGAGCAGCTGAATAAACTCCAATAGCCCAGAGTATCACTTTCAATGCTTTTCTTCTCAAGAATTTTCACAAAACATTTGCAATTTTTAGGAATTCTCCAAAATACACTAAGGAATTTTGAAAAAAACAAAAGCTTATCCCTCAAAATAACTTTAAACAAACATGTCTGACTGAAACATTTAATGGTCCTGGTTTAAATGGACACAAATTAGAGAGAAGGTATCAGGCCAGTTACAAGACACGTTTAAATATACGTGAACTACAGCAGACAAATATGATACACTACTATATACAGGAATGCATAACTTGAACAGTAACTCGTGTTAACAGAGCCTGTCAGCCCAAATAAACGTGCCAACACCTACAGCAAAGTGATATGTTTAAAAAAGCTATGATAATAATGCCTTTAGGTCATCAATTTAAATGCATACCTCCAAATCTAATACTAAATCCAGATGTTGTGAAAAGGAAACCATTTTCTCATGTTTAACCAACATAGACTAACTCCTTCTGTGAGGAAATACAGACTAACCCAAAATTAAATCAGAGCACCATATATATCCTATAGCAGATCAACTAAACCAGCAAACTCCATAATGCTGCTTTTTGTAATGTCATAAAAGATACATTTTGAAGAACAAAAGCCAGATTTTCCTCAGCTTCAGAGTAATTACTGTAAAAAGTCCATACTGTACCACAAAGCAACAATCTTAAATGGAAGAACACTGAGCAGAAATATTTCTTTGCCAGACAAATTTCAATTACTGCTACTTTGATTTTTAGCAATACAACATGAAAGCCAATCAAGTAACACAAAGTCTCTAGAATAGCAGGAATAAAACTACAGACAGAAAAAAAGTGTGACATACTTTCTACACTTGGCATTAAAAATACACATCTATAAATACCTGTGCAATACATACCTTTTCTAAAGAACAATTAGAACATGAGCCGTCAGACACCCAACCACTAGCAGCTTTTACTTTTGCTGTGCTTTTTGTAGGACTCTTTTTTACACTATCGCGTAGGTTTGTAAATTTTCCTCTGTGTTTGGAAGGCCCTGGCAGTGTGGATGAACTAAAAGATGGACAAACGCTCAGTGCCCGCTGCTGATGCCAGGAAAGCTGCTTTGGCTGCATATGAAGATTCTGACGTATTTCCATTCTCGGGCTCCTTGTTAAATCAGTGAGCTTGAGTGTTCCCATTTCACCATCATGAGCAGTCATGAAACTAACACCTCAAACAGTCCTTTTGCAAAAAAAAAAAAAAAAAAAAAAAGGAAGTAAAATAAACCAAAACCCAGAACGGTAAAAATATGATTGTTTTCTGGATTATGGTCATAGAAAGAAAGACTAAATGCTGTTTCAGCTAGTACTGTGTGTTGTGTACTCTCCTACTCTATTTAAAGAGCACCATTGAACCACCACACAACAGTCAATTTGCTGGGTATAAATAATCAATGCAATGCAGAAATTACTGAACAGATGGCAAAAGTCATCTGACTTTATTAAAAAGCTATGAAAGGTTCTAGTTATTTTCTTTCTCCCATAAACTCCTACTGTCCCTAACATCTTTTGTATTTTACCACCTCAAAACTTGTCCAAGGTTTACATCTATTTTCAAATTCCTCTACATTTCTGAACACCTTAGGAGAGCTGCAAACTAAGGAATTTAAAGAAGCTTATAATGAAAAGTATATGAATTTTGAATGGGCTGACATGTTGTGCAAGATTTTAACATTAAACTTCCAAAGAAAACAAATTTGGTCAGACCATTAAATTGTTGACAAAAAGTAATTCTTGTTATTGTTCAAGAGTTGCATTTTCATGAAATACAGCAGCACCGTGAGACCACAATTTTAAGGTGCACATTCTTTAGAAATTTAAAGAAATACAAGTTCTTTATTTTACTCATTTAGGTTTTAATGCCAAGGATGCATGATTTCTATATTACATTTTTACCCCAGTTTTCAAAACAAAAAAGCTCCAGAACAGCTCCTACCCACACGCAGCTTGATTTAATCATGTTGTTGAATATTACATTTGCCAGCCTTTTTTTTTTATTTCATCATTCTGAAAAGAGGTAAGGATCAGTGTTAATTTCCCAGAGTCTATGTGAAAACTGACAGCTAAACAGTGACACCTATATTCCTAGCCTTACAGAAGGAAGAATGAGGCTCACGGCAGTGGTCATGAAGTCTCAACAGCAGACACACCACCACTTTTTGCACTGGTGGGGCAGCCACAGCAAACACTATCTGCCTCTTGCACCATTGGTCTGAGTCACAAATATGCTGTGAACCTGAATATCTGATGCTGGATATGGTAAGAAAGAAGGACACTAGCCAATTGTAAACAAAGCTTGATTTGGTCAGCTGTACTGTATTTAGATAAAATGGAGATATTTCATCAGTTCATAGCATTAAAACATGGTTATTCTTCCTCTCCCTCTACACTTTCCTACAGCACATCTGAATATTTAAATAATGAGTTAGCATAATTTTTACAGAATAAAAAACCAGAAATACAGACCTAAGTACAAAGATTTCCAGTTATTTTTAGCATAGATATTAAGAGATAAATAGGAACTGACAGATGCTGCCCTAATCAACAAGAGCTGCCATGTCTCATCATCTACCCAGAATGGATGTTATCAAGTACTGCATAACGTATCATTAATGCAATATTCATAAATGCAGAGACAGAAAGGTTTCTGGCCAGT